TATCCTGTGAAGCGCTTTGAGACGTCTCGACAACATGATCGGGCGCTGTATCAAACGCAGAGATTATTATTATTCTAACGTTTTTACTCAGAGACAAGAATGCTGCCATCTGAGCCTAATTGACACCTAAACCAATGTCTCCTGAAGGCTGATTTCAAGAACAAATACTAGTAAAACTCTTCAGGGCAATGTTGCCTTTCGCATCAGTGATCACACAGCGAGAGAGAGAGAGAGAGAGAGACAGAGAGTCCTTCTACCTTATACATCCCTCACCGGACAGATTGTCCGGGCTGTCAGCCTCAAACCTTATTGGCTTTGCTCCAGTCCTAATCACAGGGTTAAGCCACAATGAAACACATGAGTAGATCACATTAATGTTGATGTACATTCCACGTGGATCAGATAACAATTTTTTTTTGCTTTCTGCCTGTTTGGAGAGCACAATAAAGAGAATGGGAAGGAAAGATACGAGACTGTTTGTGGGACGCTGCTGTGTGCAATTAATTGACACCCACGAAATATACAGTCAATTCACTTTATAGTATATTCTGTGAAGCGCTTTGAGACGTCTCAATGACAAGATGCCATATCAAGTGCAAGGATTATTATTATTATTAAACATGTCCTTAGAGACAGGGAGGCAGAGTTTGCTGTGATATGTGAATTGTTGTTGGGCAGCTTTACAGGAAGAGCCTGGGATTGCAGACACTCAGACTCTGGCACTGCTGAATGTTTGATTGCTGAACAATATCAAGAGCGATGGGAAGCTTCAATGGAAAAGGTCTGTGTTGTGCACCATGTCTGCTGAAATACTTGGGACTGTAGACAGTTGCTATCCCGGTCTGCCCAAGCTGAATAATTAGTTCGTCACACTGCAATACTTCATCCAATTACTGTAAATCATTTAGTTAAAGGTCATTTTCCATTAAACAGCACCTTTGGTGTCTGTGTCACTGTACAGTCTCTAATTGTAGATCAGTGGTTAGAGCACTCGCCTCGCAAACGAGAGGACCTGGGTATGATTCCCGGGCAGAGCAAAACATTGGGCAAGTTTCCTTACTCCACACGCTTCTGTTTATTTAACAGGAACCCAGTTGTTAGTCATTTGGCGGATCGCTTTTCCTGGGGTAATAATCCCTTAAAAAAATAATCATTTGGTCACTTAATCCATGATTGTTTGTGGGACGCTGCTGTGCGCAATTGGCTGCCGTGTTTCGCCCACAAAATATACAGTCTCTACACTTTACAGTGTATTCTGCGAAGCGATTCCAAGACATGATAAGGAGCTGTATCAAATGCAGGGATTATTATTATTATTATTATTAAGATATAGTCATGGGTAATGAATTCCAAGTGTTCTATAAATCACATCTTTCTCGCGTGTGCATTTCTGTGACAGATCTGCAGTATTAAATCCCAGTTCAAACAAGTCTTTAACACCCAACAGAAGTGAGGCAAAATGGTAACTAAGCCACCCCACCCCTAATTGCCAAATATGTACTTGAGCAATAAAGCTTGACATCTGCAAGGCTAAATCACAATGAACAGTTCTAACAAGCTGTGATGATTTACAGTGGCCTGATAACATCATTTTATATAACAGGGGAGACCGGGAGACATTCTTTTTTACCCAGAGAGTTGTTACAGTCTGGAATTCACTGCCTGAAAGGGCAATGGAAGCAGATTCGATAACATCTATCACAAGGCAATCGGATAGGTATTTAAAAATATGCAGGGAAATGGGGTAAGAGAGGGGGAGTAGGACCAGTTGGGGTAAGAGAGGGGGAGTGGGACTAGTTGGGGTAAGAGTGGGGCTAGTTGGGGTAAGAGTGGGGGAGTGGGGGCTAGTTGGGGTAAGAGTGGGGGAGTGGGGCTAGTTGGGGTAAGAGTGGGGGAGTGGGGCTAGTTGGGGTAAGAGTGGGGGAGTGGGCTAGTTGGGGTGAGAGTGGGGGAGTGGGGCTAGTTGGGGTGAGAGTGGGGGAGTGGGGCTAGTTGGGGTAAGAGCGGGGGGAGTGGGGACTAGTTGGGGTAAGAGCAGGGGAGTGGGGCTAGTTGGGGTAAGAGTGGGGGAGTGGGGCTAGTTGGGGTAAGAGTGGGGGAGTGGGGCTAGTTGGGGTAAGAGTGGGGCTAGTTGGGGTAAGAGTGGGGGAGTGGGGCTAGTTGGGGTAAGAGTGGGGGGAGTGGGGCTAGTTGGGGTAAGAGTGGGGGAATGGGGACTAGTTGGGGTAAGAGCAGGGGAGTGGGGCTAGTTGGGGTAAGAGTGGGGGAGTGGGGCTAGTTGGGGTAAGAGTGGGGGAGTGGGGCTAGTTGGGGTAAGAGATGGGGGAATGGGGGCTAGTTGGGGTAAGAGTGGGGGAGTGGGGCTAGTTGGGGTAAGAGTGGGGGAGTGGGGCTAGTTGGGGTAAGAGTGGGGGAGTGGGGCTAGTTGGGGTAAGAGTGGGGGAGTGGGGCTAGTTGGGGTAAGAGTGGGGGAGCCCAGAGTGTGTGTTGGGGTAACTGCTGGAGTCTAACCAGCTAAACCCACAGTTTGCTATTGGGAGCGCTGTCTGGCAGCTTTCCCACAGACTGGTGGGGTAGGACCACCCGAGCTGTTAGGGCTTTGGCTTTGACTTGAAATAAAGTCTGAAACTCAACTCAAATCCCAGTACAATTTGTAACAATCTTTTCCTGTGGTTAGGGGTTTAATAAAGATTAGGCATTACAACATACCATGTGTACAGTGTCAGTAAAAATGATAATACTTTCACATTGTGGTGTCCTGTGGTTAGAGCCCTCTCCTCGCAAGCCAGAGGACCTGGGTTTGGTTCCCGGGCAGGGCAACACTCCACGCACCTGTTTACCAGCAGTAACTAGGAACCCGGTTGTTAGTCGATTGGCGGATCGTTGTTCAGGGATAATAATCCCTTCAAAAATAAATAAATAAATAAATAAATAATAACAATTTGGTCACTCAAGCCACGACTGTTTGTGGGACACTGCTGTCAGGTTTCGCTAACAAAATACAGTCACTACACTTTACAGTATATTCTGTAAAGCGCTTTGAGAAGTCTCGTAGATCGACGTGTTAAGGCGCTATATCAACCGTAAGGATTATTATCATCTGTTTACTTGTATACAGTATTTCTGCAGACATAGAAACACATGTATTTGTCTCTTTTGATAAGTTGCACAACACATTTTGAAGCCGTGTCGAAATTACCGCTCATTAGTTTGCACGTAACTCTGAAATACGCCACGCATAAGAATTTTATTTGAGATTCACACGCACATCAAAGAATAAAATTGCTTCGGGGTATAGGTCATCAGGGATTGAAGAATCTGTAAAGAATTTGAGACATGTCATCTCCTGCCCTGTGCACAGTGGTGATCCCACTGATCCCATTGATACGTTTTGTTTTCGGTGTTTGACAACATTTCGAAAAATACTTGGCATTTATCGTAGTTGAGTGTTCCGCTCATTCGTTTATCCGCTTTTCACAGTAAAAATGTTTTCACCCACAAAATAACCAGTCAATTCATCCTTCAGTGTGTCCTGTGAAGCGCTTTGAGAACTATTGAAGACGTGATGAGGCTCTGTATCAAATGCCAGGATTATTATTGTTAAAAATGAACATTTTGCTGTGAAAAGCGGATAATAAGTGGAATTTACTGAATATAACAACAACAACTCACATTTACACAGCGCCCATCAAAGTGAGTGAGGGAGGGTGTGTGGGTGGGTGAGAGGGAGGGTGGGTGAGTGGGAGGGTGGGAGGGTGGGAGAGGGGGAGGGAGGGAGGGGGTGGGTGAGGGGGAGGGAGGGATGGGGTGTGGGTGGCTGTGAGGGAGGGAGAGTGGGTGGGTGAGAGGGAGGGAGGGGAGGGTGGGTGTGTGGGTGGGTGGGTGAGAGGAGAGGGGTGTGGGTGTGGGGGGGGTGGGTGGAGAGGGAGGGGGGTGTGTGGGTGGGTGAGAGGGAGGGTGGGTGTGTGGGTGGGTGAGAGGGAGGGGGGTGTGTGGGTGGGTGAGAGGGAGGGAGGGTGTGTGGGTGGGTGAGAGGGAGGGTGGGTGGGTGAGAGGGTGTGTGTGTGGGTGGGTGAGAGGGTGGGGGTGTGGGTGGGTGAGAGGGTGGGTGGGTGAGAGGGTGGGGTGGGTGGGTGAGAGGGTGGGTGGGTGAGAGGGTGGGTGGGTGAGAGGGTGGGTGAGAGGGAGGGTGGGTGATTGAGAGGGAGGGAGGGTGGGTGAGTGGGTGAGAGGGAGGGAGTTCCAGCAAGTGTCATGTCTATAGCACAAGCACAGTGTAAGGTATGAAGATATGGTCAGTCAGAGAGCTGTCAAACCCAACCAACTGTACTGTACTGTAGACTTGAGCCCTCTGGGTCGCTATCCTGCGTGAGGGGTGCCGTATAAATGCAAGTTGTTGTGGTAGACGATGCCTCACCTCACTCTTCACACACATAATCCCAACCATCACAGTTTTGGCATTCCACATTCTTGTGTTTATTCATATTTGTCACAGCGCCAGAATACTTTTGTTTAATTGTGTTTCAGCGTGAACTGTAACTGTATGTTAGTGGATTGGCAGATCGCTTTCCGGGGTTAATAACCCCTCAAAAAAAAATGTGGTCACTCAATCCACGACTGTGTGTGGGGCGCTGCTGTGCACCATTGGCTGCACATTTCACCCACAAAATAGACAATCAATTCACTTTACAGTACATTCTGTGAAGTGCTTTGAGACGTCTCAAAGATGTGATAAGGCGCTGTATCAAAAATGTAAGGATTATTATTATTAATAATATTATAATACAGTGTTATACAAGATCACTGGGCTTGTATGTGAAATCCTCATTGCCACGGCTTTCATATGGAAACATTGCAAGTATTGTCATATAAACCATCACAGAAACGCAACATGTTTTATACAGTAATACCAACTTGGCAGCTGCTATATTGGTAGAAACATTTGTATTATTTAGACTGCACGTTTCTGCCAGTGAAAGTTTCTTACTTTGAAATGAAACTGTTCTCTTCAACTGATAATCAGAATAAGCGTAAGAGAGACAGCGAACCCATAATAGGTATAATCTAGAGACAGGAAAGGCAGCAATGAAAGAAAATTATATAGAGAGGGAAAAATACTCTGCTCCCTGTTATTACACAATTTTAGACCCTTCACGTTTCGCCCACAAAATAAACAGTCAATTCACTTTACAGTACATTCTGTGAAGAGCTTCATTACATCACAATGATGTGATAAGACGCTATATCAAATGCAATGATTATGATTATTATTATCAACGATTATGTTTGAATATTTCGCAGCACCTTTAACACAACCCAAAGTGTGTGTATAAAGCATTACTTTCTTAAATCATTGGCACATTTAATTAGAAAATGCGTTGTTAGGAAATCTTTGACTGTCAAAGGAATCACATTGTTGCTTCCACAGACTTGCTGCACAATCCTACCCCTTTACAACACAGGTAATAGTCCGGTCACTCAATCCACAAGGACACTGCTGTGCACAATTGGCTGCCGCGTTTCAGCCACAAAACACAGTCACTACACTCTACAGTATATTGTGTGAAGTGCTTTGCGACGTCTCGAAGACGTGATACGTCATTATATCAAATGCGAGGATTGTTATTATTATTATATTATTATTATATTATTATAATTATTATTATATTATTATAGAAAGTCGATGATGTTGGAAAGAGGTCTGCGAAAAAACAATGGATTATTATTATTCAGATCGTTATTAAGCACTGTGTGAGATTGAGACAGCCTTGCCCTTGCTGCTGTGTTTGCAGGTTATATTCCGAGCTCTCTCAGCCTGGCCCGAGCTGGAGGATCCCTACAGCCTGAAAGCTCAGGACCTGCTGAAGGTCACTAACCTCCGTGTTCAGCTGTTAAAGCGACAGGACTGTCCGTGTCTGAGCAAGAACCCGGCCCTCAAACCCCAGCACTTTGCACACTACGCCATCTATGACTTTATTGTGAAAGGCAGCTGCTTCTGCAATGGCCACGCGGATCAGTGCGTCCCTACAGCTGACTTCAGGCCGGTCAGAGACCGGAGGCTGAACGCGGTGAGTGTTTGTGGTAAACAACGACAACAAATTACACTTGTGTAGCCCTCTCTACATCGGAAAGATGGCCCAGGGCACTGCAGTCAGAGTTCTTTTGGACCCCGAGCTGGGAGTTGGGGTCAGGAGGGGTGGAGGGCAGGGAGGGTGGGGGTCAGAGGGTGGCCGAAGGCGAGGTGGAAGAGGAGGGTATTGAGATGGGACTTGAAGGAGGCGAGAGAGAGGGCGCCAGGTGAAGGGACTGCGGGATAGAGTTCCAGAGGGTGGGGGCAGAGATGCTGAATCCCGACTGCCGATGGTGGGGGAAACACTCATGTATTGTTGCTTTACCCCCACTCGCTCGGGCTGGAGCCCACTGCGCAGAGAGCGCGGACGGATCTATATGGAGTCAGCAGGTCACAGAGGTAGGGCGGAGCGAGGCCATTTGACTCATCCGGTCACCTATATCTCTGTGTATCGAAAACCAGTGTCAATAATTCCCTGTGTCTCAGTTTGCAGGAATCAGACAGAACCTTCCGTCAGTATCTGAATGTTATTAAATTATGGCTCTGTACTTTGCACTTCATGTAAACAGAACATTCAAAACCACAGGAAATCATTGATTGCTTTGGTTGGTGAAGATTGCTTTGATAATTGTGAAATTGTTTATCACAATTGTTTATTAAAATACCATTGACTACTTCAAAACAAACAACATTAAAAACATTTACATTTTCTTTAAAGGGTGGAATGTGTCTTTTAAGGCAATTAAAATGTTTTTAAGTGCCCCTGTAACTCAGTGGTTAGAGCACTCACCTCCCAAGCGAGGGGCCCGGGTTTGATTCCCGGACACGACGGAACATTGGACAAGTTTCCTTACTCCACACACCTCTGTTTACCACAATGAGTAGGAACCCGATTGTTAGTTGTTAGTCGATTGGCGAATCGCTTTCCAGGAGTGATAATCCCTTCCAAATACACAACTAAATAAATTAAGATAATTTGGTCACTCAACCCACGACTGTTTGTGGGACGCTGCTGTGCGCAATTGGCTGCTGCATTTCACCCAGAAAATACACAGTCACTACACTTTAGTGTATCCTGTGAAGTGCTTTGAGATGTCTCGATGACGTGCTCAGGCGCTGTATCGAATGCCAGGATTATTATTATTGTTGTTTATTAGATTGCAATGATCTGCACAGAAGGGGCCATCGTGTTGGTGCACATCAGCACAGACTCCGTCTCCTATTGTCTATCTGCCCCGGGAGGTTGACTGAGCTCTTCATTGATCTTCAGCAGGTTCATGGCAAGTGTATCTGCCGTCACAACACAGAGGGCGAACACTGTGACCGCTGCTCTCCTCTGTACAACGACCAGCCCTGGCAGGCAGCAGATGGGAAGAGTGGAGCCCCGAGAGAATGCCAAAGTAAGTACAACAACAACAACTTGTATTTGTGGAGTCCTGTAGCTCAGTGGTTAGAGCACTCGCCTCGCAGGCGAGAGGACCCGGGATCGATTCCCGGGCAGGACAAAGCCTTAGGCAAGTTTCCTTACTCCACTCCTCTGTTTACCAGCAGTCAGTAGGAACCCAATTGTTAGTCAGTTGGCCGATCGCTTTCCGGGGGTAATAATCTCTTCTATTTTTTAAAAAAAGTATAATAATTTTGTCACTCAATCCACGACTGTTTGGGGGACACTGCTCTGTGCAATCGGCTGCTGTGTTTCGCCCACAAAATATAGTTTTTTTTATGGCCAATTGACTAACAACCAGGTTCCTATAGTCAAATAGTTCCTATAACCAATAGTGTCCTCCAGACACCTGCCTGTTAAACAGCTCGGTGTGAGCAGGCTTCACGTCATCACTGGCTCCATGTTTAAACACCAGCTCTCCTCATGTTTGTCCAGCTGCTGACGGGCAAATATAATAACTGAGTGTCTGTCAATGTTACACACACTGAGGTCAGCCCCACATGGCTCAGCTGTTAGAGTCTCTGCCGTCTGAGTTGATCTGAGTTTCTCTCGTGTTCATCTGGAACCTGCTGGATGATGTTCTCTTAGTTTGGCAGCATTTAGACACTTCAGTGGCCAATTTCAATCTTGTTTCACCCACAAAGTACACAGTCACTACACTTTACAGTATATTCTGTGAAGAGTTTTGAGACGTCTCAACGATGTGATAAGGCACTGTATCAAATGTGAGGATTATTATTATTATTTCTATCCACGACTGTTTGTGGGACGCTGCTGAGCATAATTGGCTGCCGCGTTTCGCCCACAGAATATAGTTGATCCACTTTATAGTATATGCTGTGAAGAGCTTTGAGACGTCTCGAAGACACGATAAGGCTCTATACCAAATGCCAGGATTATTATTATTGTTATTATCTGTGGTTGTTACTCCCTGTAGTGGGATTTTGATTGTGATCTGTTTGACGGCAGAATGTTTGTGCAATGATCACGCCGAGAGCTGCCACTTTGACCTCGGTGTGTGGCTGGCATCAGGCAATCACAGTGGAGGGGTGTGTGACGACTGCAAACACAACACAGAGGGGCAGCATTGCCACCGGTGCCAACCCGGATTCTACAGGGACCTCAGAAGCCATGTCTCTGCCCCGGATGTCTGCAAACGTAAGCTGCTCTTATTATTATTCAAGTGTTTGCACAAATATGTCAGTGATGTTTTGTTTATCCTCACCTGCTCTAAACTCCATCCCCCATCACCCCAGCCCTCCCCAGCCCCCACTGGCTCCCTATCACACACTAAACCCTGTACCCCATCACCCCAGCCCTCCCCCAGTCCCTATCACACACACTAAACCCTGTACCCCATCACCCCAGCCCTCGCCAGCCCCCACTGGCTCCCTATCACACACTAAACCCTGTACCCCATCACCCCAGCCCTCGCCAGCCCCCACTGGCTCCCTATCACACACACTAACCCTGTACCCCATCACCCCAGCCCTCCCCAGCCCCCACTGGCTCCCTATCACACCACTAAACCCTGTACCCCATCACCCCAGCCCTCCCCAGCCCCCACTGGCTCCCTATCACACACACTAACCCCTGTACCCCATCACCCCAGCCCTCCCCAGCCCCCACTGGCTCCCTATCACACACTAAACCCTGTACCCCATCACCCCAGCCCTCCCCAGCCCCCACTGGCTCCCTATCACACACACTAACCCCTGTACCCCATCACCCCAGCCCCCACTGGCTCCCTGTCTCAGAACAGATCTATTTCAAGACCCTCTCACTCGTCTTCAAATCCCTTCACACCCTACCCAAACAATCGTGGATTGAGTGACCAAATTATGAATTTTATTTTTTTCGAGGGATGGATTATTGATTTATATAGAACCTTCCACATTTCTAGAATGTCTCAAACGTTAAAGGAAATGTATGGAACAGGTTCCCTAGGGAGACAGATGGTGGAAGCAGAATGTGTCAATTCTTTCAAGAACAAATGAGATAGATTTCTGTTAGGAAATAGTACCTGCGGGATACAGTATATAGTCTGGGACACGACATCTCATGTGACTGCCAGGATGGTGGAAGGCGAACTGGATGGTCTGCTTTTTCCAGCAAATTCTCATGTTTTTATGTTCTCCCACCCCTATCCATCCCCATATCTTCTGCTCTTCCGCCTGATGCCAAACACTTTATGACATGAAAGGCTCTGTATAAATTCAAGTTGTTTCCACTTCCTGGCCGTGAGCACAGTGACGGCAGCACAGAATGTTCTTACAAATTGTGACTCTGCATAATAAAGAGCAGCAATGATGCTTTGTCAGGAGTGGGACCGAGCTCCATGGGGCTGCCTTGCACCGTATTTATTGTGTCAAACTGTGGATTCACGCAGTAACTCTGCTGAATACCGTGCTCTTTTTGGAGACCAAACAATGCAAACTAACAATCGCTGCCAGTGTTCAGCTTGGCACCTGCCCCATTCGGACCTTGATCTGAGAACTTCGACCAATTTAGAGTTGTTGGGGTGAAATTCTTCTGAGCGTAAATTGGAGAGTAAATTTGTGGAGTCCTGTAGGTTAGTGGATTGTTGGAGCAAATGTGATGCTGTTAAAGTTCCAGTCAGCGCACACAAACATGCGTTAATAATAATAATCCTTGAATTTGATGTAGCGACTCATCACATCTTCGAGACATCTCAAAGAGCTTCACAGGATACACTGTAACGTGAATTGACTGTATATTTGTGGGCAAAACGCAGCAGCCAAATGCACACAGCAGCGTCCCACAAACAGTCATGGATTGAGTGCCTATCCAAAGTATTATTTTTGAAGGGACTATTGCCAGAGGAAACGCGATCCATCAATTGACTAACAACCAGGTTGCTACTCACTGCTGGTAAACAGAGGTGTGTGGAGCAAGGCAACTTGCCTAAGGTTTCACTCTGCCCGTGAATCGAATCCAGGTCCTCTCGCTTGCGAGGCGAGTGCTCTAACCACTGAGCTACAGGACTCCACTAAGAGAGAATGACATTCCCAGGCTGTCTGATCCAGTGGGAACTTGTTACTGTCAAAATGCCACGAATTTCAAAACCGATCTTTGAAATTGCTCCAAATGGCATGTTGGAGCCAGGAAGCCGGCCTTTGTTGTGCTGAATCACTAGCCTTTCAGAGATGATAAGGAATGTAATCACTGTGTGGTTAGGTGGTGGGTGGTGTGTCAATATGGTGCAGCGTAGAGTAGGCAGAGACGAGCATGAAGGCAATGCTTCCCACGTGGTTTGGTCTTTGAAACCAGGTAAAGTCCTGTAGCTCAGTGGTTAAATCACTCGCCTCGCAAGCGAGAGGACCTGGTTTTGATTCCCGGGTGGGATGAAACATTGGGCAAGTTTCCTTGAAAGCACAGGCTGTGAGTTTACTCCATCATTTATCACAAACACAACCCTCTGAAAAACCATTGTCTATTAAAATATCCCACTCCCCCTGTTTCCCCAGCAGTAAGTAGGAACCTGCTTGTTGGTCGATTGGCGGATCGTTTTCTGGGGGCAATAATCCCTTCCAAAAAACATATGGCTGAATTGCTGAGAGTTTGCTGATTGGGGGGCAGGTCAGGGGATGAATGATAAGCCACAGTACCTGCTGTTTCCCTTCTCACAATACAGCAGCAATGATGTTATGGGAGACAAACAGTTTGTGTTTGATATGCAGCCTGACATTGATGGAGTGATGTGCTTGAGGTCATACACACACAGGCAGTGTATGGCAGTACAGTCATATAGGGTTACACAGAGAAGGTGTGGGAATGCAAACAAGTAGCGCCCAGGTTTGGCACTGGTTCAGATCTCTGGTTTAGTGAACAGAGGGCTCTTCTGTCAGAGATTCACAGCACCCATATAGCCAACACTACCCTTGGGAGGGTTCCAGATTGGGATATTTTAACAAACAATAGTTTTTGAAGGGTTTGTGTTTGTGATAAATGATGGAGTAAACTCACAGCCTATGTTGTCATGTCAAGCTGTAAATTGTAAAGCAATTGTGTTATCGTGGAGTCCTGTAGCTCAGTGTTAGAGCCCTCGCCTCGCAAGTGAGTGGACCTGGGTTCGATTTCCGAGCAGGGCAAAACTTTAGGGCAAGTTTCCTTACTCCACATGTCTCTGTTTAACAGCAGTAAGTGGAACCCGGATGTTAGTCGATTGGTGGATCACTTTCCGGGAGTAATAATCCCTTCAAAAATAATAATTTGGTCACTCAATCCATGACTGTTTGTGGGACAGTGCTGTGCGCAATTGGCTGCTGGGTTACACCCACAGAATACACAGTCACTACACTTTACAGTATGTTCTGTGAAGCGCTTTGAGACGTCTCGAAGATGTGATGAGGCGCTGTGTCAAATGAAGGATTATTATTATTATATTATTAAAACTGCTTGATTGATTGATTGATTGATTGATTGATTGATTGATTGATTGATTGATTTTGCTTGCTTTTAGCCTGTTCCTGCCACGCTGTGGGTTCGTCCAGCTTCCTTGTCAGGCGATCCCCATGGTGTGAGCCCAGTCACGGTGACTGTGTGTGTAAGCCCGGGGTGGCAGGCCCTTACTGTGACCAGTGTATGGTGGGTTACTGGGGGTTTGGGCAGTATGGCTGTCGGCCGTGTGCCTGTGCTGGGAGCTGTGATCCCTTCACTGGGGATTGCATCAACAGGTGAGTGAGTGAAGTGAGTGAGTGAGCGAGCGAGCGAGGAAGGGAGGGAGGGAGGGAGTGAGTGAGGGACTGAGTGAGTGTTGTAATATTACTGGATCCAAATCAAGGGTGTGTTTGAAGCTTCCTTATTCGTCACTCCGAACTCTCGTTGCTGCACCGCTGTAACCCACACACTTTGTCCCACTTGCAATGTCCTTTTGTACTTCCCTTTCGTTAATTGTTAATTTACTCTTAACAGCGTATCCATCAAGTGTGTGCTTAGTTATATAATAATCCTTGCATTTGATATAGCGCCTCATCACATCTTCGAGACGTCTCAAAGTGCTTCACAGAATATACTGTAAAGTGGAGTGACTGTGTATTTTTGTGGGCAAAACGCAGCAGCCAATTGCGCACAGCAGCGTCCCACACACAGTGGGTTGAGTGACCTTATTATTTATTTATTGCCTCACACGCGAGAGGACCCGGGTTTGATTCCCGGGTGGGGCGAAACCTTAGGCAGAAGCCTTACTCCACACACTTCTGTTTACCAGCAGTCAGCAGGAACTCGGTTGTTAATCGATTGGCGGATTACTTTTCCGGTGCTGATAATCGCTACAATTTTTTTAAAAAAAGACTAATTGGTCATTTAGGGCTTCGAGATGTTTCCCTGACGTGATAAATTACAAATTACATCTGTATAGCACCATTCACGTCGGGAGGACGTCACAAGGCCTGACAGCCACTGCAAGGATTAGTGTTATCATATTATACAATGAAAAAAGTATCAAATGCACGGACTTGTGTGAATTTACGGAACTTGTTTAAAAGATGCATCACTTTCCCTGTGCGTTCAACCCGGCAGCAATGGTGATATCGAGTGGTACCCGGGCCAAGGGCAGATTCCTGACCTTTACTCCACGTGGAATGAGAGTGAAGCCGCGTGGAGCTGGGAGGATGAGCAAGGCTTCTCTGCTCTTAGACATTCAGGTGAGAACAGATTCGTGGAAAATGAGTCTTATCTGCTACAGCACTGAACGTCTCGCATAATTGAAACCTTAGGCGAGTTTCCTTACTCCACACGCACGCCTCTGTTTACCAGCAGAAGTGGGAACCTCTTGTTAGTCCATTGGAGGATCAACAACAACAACAAATTATGTTTGCATAGAGGCTTTCACGAAGGATCCTTTTCTGGGGTAATTATTATTATAAAGACATATGTTAATTATTCTTTTTCAGGAAAGTGTGAGTGCAGAGATCAAGTCTTAGGAAATCCCAAAGTGTTCTGTAACATGAAGTACACATACGGTAAGCCCAACAAACGGAGATTCAATGCAAACTGAACTCTTAAGTGATAAGAACATAAGAATTGCACTGTTTATATTGGTGGTGAAAGCCGAGCTCAGTAATTACACTTGCTGTGCCTTCCCTGAAATGAGTGTAATTAGTGGAATGAATAAAGCTTCATTACATACACTTGACTGGAATATGATAAGCAGATATATTTATTTACCTTTCGTGGTTGCAGTGCTGAAGGTGAGGATTCTCAGATATATTTATGGAGTCCTGTAGCTCAGTGATTAGAGCACTCGCTTTGTAAGCGAGAGACCTGGGTTTGATTCCCGGCAGGTGAAACCTTACTCCATACGCCTGATGATAATCCCTCAAGAAAAAAATAATAAAATTGGTCACTTCAACTCACGACTGTCTGTGGGACACTGCTGTGTGCAATCGGCTGCCTCATTTCGCCCACAAATATACAGTCAATTCACTTTACAATCTATTCTGTGAAGCGCTTTGAGATGTCGAGAAGATGTGAAAAGCGCTATATCAAATGCAAGGATTATTATTATTATTATTTAATTAGCTTCAAGCGATCATCACAAGTCACAGATAATGAATGCCTTTGTTTTATGTCCCTGGAGGAACAAAAAGGACTTAAAAACAGTTTACAATTCAGATTCTTCTCCATCCTTCCTTATTAATGATACACAAGGAGATCACATAATCACAAGAGTCGGTGTGGCCTCGAGTGTCGAGGGAGGGAGGGAGGGAGAGGAAGGTCTTTAGGCAAATTCTGAAGATGGGGAAGGAAGCGCTTTGAGACGTCTCGATGACTTGACAAGGCGTTATATCAAATGCAAGGATTATTTTGATTGATTGCTTGATTGATTGGTTCGTTGATTGATTGTGTAACCTCTCGTGGTTGCAGTGCTGAAGGTGAGGATTCTCTCGGCCCACGACAGAGGCTCACACGCAGAGGTCAACGTAAAGATCAAGAAGGTGTTGAAATTGACCAAGTTGAAGATCCGTCGGGGGAAGCGAGTTCTCTTTCCCGAATCCTGGACAAACAGAGGCTGTACATGTCCAGTCCTCAATCCTGGTGAGACTCACTTTGGACATTGTCCTTGCAAAGGCCGAGAGCTAAGTGTGGGATTCTCGCTTTGGGATGTCTCGAACACGTGATAAGGCGCTACATCAAATGCCAGGATTATTATTGTTGTTATTCTCATGTCGTTGAGACGTCTCAAAAGCGTTTCACAGAATAAGCTGTAAAGTGAATTATGCAAGGATTATCTATATTATATTATATCTGTTTTCTCCTGGGTCCCGGCAGCGATGGAGTACCTGGTGGCAGGACATGAAGACGTACGAAGCGGGCGCCTGGTCGTCAACATGAAGAGCTTTGTCCAGCCTTGGAAAGCGGATCTGGGCCGGAGAGTGATACACATCCTGAAAACAGACTGTCAGTAACAGCTGGTATTTTATATACAAGGGCACTGATTCCCTATGTGCTGAGCAGGGCTCCGTCATCAGGAAACATTAAGAAAGTGAACAGAAACCTAGTTAAGGGTTATCCTAGTAAAGCCCCAAAACACATGATTGCACACCTAAAAAACAGCACCTAAACAACATCAGCGCACAAAATCAGCGCCTTTCATGTTGGGAGGATGTCCCAAGGCGCTGAAACCCTTGTGTTGTTTCCAAACTAAAGTTGGCCTTAAATTCTTTTCTTTCAAAAACTAAAAAATCTGCCTTCTTTCTACTTAATGCACTTTACTACCTGATGATTTTGGGTGTCACAGGCAGGTAGATATTACCAGTCACTTTCCATTAAAAAAACTTTCCGATATTGAGGTCCTTGGAAGATCTAGTTGAATCTCCCTCATAGCAATGAGATCAATGAAATGGCCTTTAGTTCAGAAGTACTCAGAGGGACTTTACACAGCAGTTAGACTCCAGCAGTTACCCCAACGCACACTCTGGGCTCCTCCCAAGCCTTGGCTCTTGCCAACCTGCGCCTAATACTCTCCGGAATTAGGTAAACAGGATGAGTCCCTCCAGGGAGAGAGAGAGAGAGAGAGAACGCATTCCATTCCAACAGTATCTGGAATTGCCACATATAGGTGGGATGGATGGAAATCTCAGCTTGGTTTGGAGACTCTTAAGCAACGGTGATGGGTTTCTGGATGTGTCAGACACCCGGCTAATGAAAACCAAAATTTGGACTCAAAATTGAAAGCTTTGTGTAACTCTCCTCCCCCCCACTCCTCACTCGAGCAAATCATTTCAAAGAAGGCATTGAACCCAATATATAGGGCTGGTTTCGATCAAGTAATTGCTGACAGGCTTCTGTTATACTGACAGCAAAGACTGACCAAGAATAAACCAAACTGGTTAGATCTTTAAGCGCTTGAATAAGAAACTTTTCTGACTGTCCAAAACCAGGCCTTTTTAATCATGAAAGACATCTTTTGTGGCCCAAGTGTTCTGAACAGACTATGGAATGCCCCATTTTGTGTGTGTATGTGTGTGTTTGTGTGTGTGTTTTTAAATTATGGATAATAATAGCTCCTTATCATGTCTTCAAGACGTCTCAAAGCGCATCACAGGATATACTGTAAAGTGTAGTGACTGTGTATTTTGTGGATGTACATATATGACAGTAGTCAGTGCCTAACATTAATGATGTACAAATGAATGAAAGACATAACATGCACTGGACATGAAAGAAAAGGGAAAATTACAGTGTTACATAATATGATGCATAGACTTGTTTTTTTTAAAGAAAATATAAAGAGACACATATGCACTTAGCGGTCCTATGGATTCGCAAAAAAAATTGGCATTATTTTTACTTTTTAATTTACATCATAAAAGCGGTGCACATGTACTATAGATGCATCCTCTCTCGGTTTTATTCATTTTAACCCTTTTATTCATTTAGATCCAGATTTTTTTTTCTCGCTGTGGTAAATGAGGAGGATAGAATACAATTGATTCAGTAAAACAACAACAAGTGACATTTACACAGAGCCTTTCGCGTCAAGAGGACGTCCCAAGGCGCTGGACAGTTAGGGATGTGGACCTGAGCTGGGGGTTGGGATCAGGAAGGGGTGGAGGGTGGGGAGGGTGGGATAGGATGGTGATCGAAGGCGCGGTCGAAGAGGAGGGTCTTGAGATGGACCTTGAAGGAGGCGAGGGAGGGAGGGAGGGAGGGAGGGAGGGAGGCAGAGGGACTGTGGGATGGAGTTCCACATTGTGGGGGCAGAGAGGCTGAAAGCCTGACTGCTGATGTGGGGCAGGCCGGGGGGAACGGGACATGGTGCAAACTGGAGCCCGCTGAGCGGAGGGAGCGGACAGGTTGATACGGCGACTAAAATACACACTATGGTTAGACAGAGTATTACTGTACTTAAGTTATTTAATGCTGAAAAGAAAGGCATTAGCTTTCCGTGTGCTTTGTATCTTCTCTTTTATCCATACTGCTGCCACAACAATAATAATGATCATTGTCAATATTGGGTATTATGGTCTGAAAAACAGGGTGTTATGTTTTGTTTTGAGTCTGGAATTTATTTGCACCTCACTCTGTAAATACGATTTCTGAACTGGCAAATGTACAAAACAAAAGCAGAATATCTTAACCAAATAAAGTCAAAATGTGTGGGTCTCTCATGCCTCTTTTATACCTCTTTTATTCGATTTAGAAAGATATAATATCCTGGCATTTGATTTTTGCGCCTTCGTTAACACGTCTCAAAGCGCTTCGCAGAATATCCTGTGAAGTGTAGTGACTGTGTATTTTGTGGGTGAAACACTGCAGCAGAGCACAGAACAGCAGCGTCCCCACAAACAGCCGTGGATTGAGTGACCAAATTATTATTATTGTTCCTCTTCAAATATATTCAAGTGGTTAACTTCACTGGAACGAACTCCTGCCAGGCAAGTCTGATGGGCTGAATGGTGTCTTTCTACGCTGCAATTAATATAATTCTATGGAATGCACCATTTTCAATGTGAAATTCCATTTTACGTGTGGAATGCAGAACTCCCTTGAGCTAGCGAGGAAATGCCAGATTCCTGACTGCACAAGGGAGAGTATGTATTTGAAAAGAACCAGTTTTCCTTTTGTCAAATAAAACTTTTCAAGTGTTGACCATATTTTGTGGGCGAAACGCGGCAGCCAATTGCGCACAGCAGCGTCCCACAAACATTCATGGATTGAGTGATCAAATTATTAATCTATTTTTTAAAAATATTTTTGTGAAGGGATTATTATCCCTGAAAAAGCAATCCTGCAATTAATCGACTAACAACCGGAGTAAGGAAACTTGCCTAAGGTTCGCCCTGTCCAGGAATCGAACCCAGGTCCTCTCGCTTGCGAGTGCTCTAAACACTGAGCTACGGGACTCATTTAAATGTTCATTTAATTGAAAAAATACAGGAATCTGAATGCCTTGAATGGTTCAGTGAAGGGGAAATTACTGTAACAGTTTTCTGCAGGGCTAGAAATGTTGTCCTTGACTTTTATTCCTCATTCACAACAGAATGTGAAACTATGAAAATACTGGAAGCCCTTGAAAATACAGCAGCTCAGCAGATACAGGAACTAAAAATAAATCCTTATTGTTACAATCATAATAGCCACGTTACAGAAATGTAATGGACGTGGCAACATTTTATATTTCTCAGAAACGCCGTTTCCTATTTGTTCTATCTTTTTCCTTGGTAACTTTGAGTTAAAAAGTACAAATTTAAAAAAAAAATAATTTGGATAAAATGAAAATCGGCATCAGTGACACTGAACTAGTCAGCTATTGGGAGGGTTTATCAGAATACCATGATGTCCGATTGGAAAACTATTGGAGAAAACTGAGATAAAATAATAATGATAATATTCCTTTCATCTAATATTGTGCCTTGTCACGCATTCAAGACGTCTCAAAGCGCTTCACGCGATATACTGTAAAGGGAATTGAATTGACTGTATATTTCGTGGGCGAAACGCAGCAGCCAATTGCGCACTGCAATGTCCCCACAAACAGTCGTGGATTGAGTAACCAAATTATTATCAATCATTTTATTTGAAGCGATTATTATTCCCGTAAAGCAACCCTCCGATTGACTAACAACAAGGCTCCTACTTACTGCTGGTAAACAGGGGGTTGTGGAGTAAGGAAAGGTTTCGTTCTGATGCGAATTGAACCCAGTTCCTCTCGCTTGTGAGGCGAGGGCTCTAACCACTGAGCTACAGGACTCCGCACTAGTGGAGATGAGGCTGCAGTTCCTGTAGTGTATTATACTGCACCTATAACAAGTCAATAACATTTTCACGCGACTGTGGGAATGTTAGCTGACAGCAGTGTTGCCCATAAGTGCAAGGTCAGTGTACGGCTCCTGCAGCCACAGCAAAACAGTGTTCAAAGTCGTCATATCTCCATTTCTGCCGAAACTCTGATTGTCCAGAGCATTGGGACACGAAAGGCACTACACACATGTAATTGTGTTGTTGTTGTTGATCAAACACCAGAGCTCCTGCACTGTGAAGTGCTCTGGGACGCTACCCTGTGTGAGAGGCACTATATAAATGCAAGTGGTTGTTGTTCTTGCTATATTCTTTCAAGTGCGCGAAATGAGGTTTTAACAGCAACATTTTTACTTTGTTCTTTTGTCTTTTTTTTACCTGTTATTTGCTCCTCTTCTTCACTTCTCCTAGTTTCTGTCTAACTGCAGTTAAAAAAAGTGACTCACATTTTACGTGCGAAGCGCTTGAGAAAAACACAACTGAAAACCTGATGTTGAATTTGCTCGGATTCTGTTACCGTCCTCAATGGTCTATTCAGGAGAGTTTGCCTAATGTTTCAGTTTATAACTATGGAGATTAACAGTACTTTTCATTATATTTATCTAAGCCCTTTGTCCCACAATGTAATACAGCACATCACTGTTGGTGAAGACTGACAGTACAATAAGGACAGCCATAAATCCTTTCTTTATAATGGGGAAGCATGTGTGAAACCAGTTTACTGAACACAAAGACAATTTCAGCCTCATAGCCAGAGCAGCGGCCGAGCACGACACTGAGGCGTTGGGGGAGGTGACCGTAGCCGCGGTCGAAGAGAACGGTCTTCAGGCGCGACCTGAAGATGGGGAAGGAAGGGGCAAGACGGAGGGAGGAATAGAGGGAGAGAGTGACCGAGTTTTGGGGGTCGTGGCTGTTAGCACTTTCCATGCATCTTTTTCCTTGGTTTCTCGTCCAAACTACGGGTGAATCTGAGAGGCCATTGAGTTTAAGGTCTGTAGCTCGTCATTCACTCTAATCCTATCTGAAGTACATTACTGTATCAACAACAGCAATAATAATAATAATCCTGGCATTTGGTACAGCGCCTTATCACGTCTTTGAGACGTCTCAAAGCGCTTCACAGGATATACTGTAAAGTGTAGTGACTGCAAATTTTGTGGGCGAAACATGGCAGCCAATTGAATGACCAAATGATTTTTTTNGCGTAGGGATTATTGCCCCTGGAAAAGCGATCCGCAAATCGACTTTCAACTCTGGGAGACTCTCCCTCAATCCCCCCGCCTTGCCCCCTCTCTGCCCTCTTTCAAGTCCCGCCTGAAAACTATCCTGTTCGACTGTGCTTACAGCCACCTCCCCCTCCCCCCGCTCGGAGTCAGCCTCCATCACTGCTGAGACGCTCCCCTCGTGGAGGGCGCTGTATAAGTGCAAGTTTTTGTTATTGCTGTTGTTGACTAACAACCGGGTTCCTATTTACCGCAGGGAAACAGAGGTGTGGACCATTCTTACAGTCACCCCTGCGCGGGAATCAAACCCAGGTCTCTCGCTTGCAAGGCGAGTGGTCTAACACTGAGCTACAACAACAACAACAACAAGATTCCATTTATAAAGCTACAGGACTCCAAGAACATAAGAATTTGAATCAAGGTGACTTTAACAGTAATGAATAGTTGCCCTCTGACTGACTTAGTCTG